GTTCCGGACTGTGTGGAACCTGGTCCGCACGTCCGGACGGTTACCATGGTGAATACGCCCTTATTTGTATTGTCAGCGGCTGCTTGGCACCCTCTTGGCTATGTGGTGCAGTGTACTGCGTGTCCATGCACTCAGTTTGAAAAAAGAAATAGAAAAATAAATAAATTAACTAGGCTACCAGAGTGGCCCTGGTCCACTTGCCCGGCCGGGCCAAAAAGAAATAAAAAAGTAAAAAAATAAAAAATGTATTTAAAAAAAAAAAATTGGTTAAGAATTTCGATGTGACCCTGAGGCAAAAGTTGTTCAGTTTCGTTTTCTGCATAACATAGTTTTTTTTCGGGATTTTGTGGATTTTTTTTTTTTTTTTTTGGGCTGGAACCTTCTTTGGTCATTGCACGGCCGGGCCGCCTGGGAAAATAGGGTGAACCGGGCAGCCCGGCTGGCAGCCTAGTAAATTAAATGATTAAAAAAATAAAAACAGTAAAATAAATAATGAGTCAGATGTCACCCTTGTAATGTGTGTAGGCGTAGGATCAATCCTTTGCAATGGATGCTACAGAGCACAGACTTCTTTTTTCTTTTTTTTTTGGGGGGGGCGGTGAGGGCTGGGAAAAAAAAGAGGCGGGACTCCAGACTCCTTCGAGACATCCATTAGAAACTTAAAAATTTGGAACGATACAGAGAAGATTAGCCCGGCCGCTGCGCAAGGATGACACGCATAAATTGAGAAATGCTCCAAATTAATAATAAAAAAAAAGTAAACAAGAAAAAAAAAAACAGGAGGACAGAAATGGAAGGGATGAGGGGAAAAAGCTGCAGATGACAATATTTGAAGCCAGAAGCAGCAGCAGCAGCAGCAGCAGCAGTAGGGCCAAATTGAGAATGCTCGAGCCTGAGTTTGAAATGACTATGATGGATGTATTTTATCCCTTTGATGTTGCTGATGGCCCCTATGCTTGCAGGTTCAACGTACCTGGACTTTATATTGCAGTTCAAGCAGTGCTTGCTCTTGCAGCTTCCTACACTACCTCAAAGGTTTTTGTTGCGCTTTCTGCCCAATGCAATATGTTGTGCTTGTGATTTGATTTGCTAATTGGCTGACTGGATTTCATAGAGAAGGGGATGGTTTATGCGAGATGGGCAGAACGGATGTTTAGAGCGGATGGGGACCATGTTTACCGTGGGGAAGACTGAGCAGACTACACGGCCTATTGAGCCTGCGCAAGTACCGGATGTTTGAAGAGTTCGAGGATTGACTCCTTTCGGTTCTTTCCCGTCCTTCAGTCATGCGGACATTGAGGAGGAACTATCTTTCCTTTTTTGCCCTTTCTTTTTGCATGTGTGGTCCGATGGACTATAGATCAGATATATTAAACTGATCAGAACAGATACTACACTCGATCTATTTTTAGCGAAAAGGCCGAGAAAGGTATAACCCATACCTGCGGCGCAAGTGTGAGGTCCGCCATGTAGTGCGGTGTGCCCGGTGCGGTGCGATGGTCACCGATGCGCGAAAAAAAAAGAAGAAAAAAAAAGAAAAAGTGGCTGTGATGTGTGAGAACACATGCA